AGTAAATACTGACCAGAACAGGAATATTTAGAGGAGGTGATTATTTCACTGCCTTCATGGTGCTTTAGCCACAGGCGCATCATTTGGCCCTAACAGCCAACACTTATTTCCACTGTGAGGTTTGTTGTCTGAACATGGAGGCGGCCTCAAGTGGCCATCAGAGGAACTGGGAAAAAACCCGTCAAAGTTAAAGGATAGGTAGACCTGCCTTTTAGCAACAAAAGTGCCCGAGCATCAGATTAAAATATGATCCGTTTTAAACGGTTGAGCCAGACAGGTGCGTCCACTTACTTTTGTCCACGCCGTGCATATGTGGTCACGTTTTTGTTGTGTTCTCCAGCTGGAGCCAGGTTAAGACGTTCCCCTGCAAACAAACCCAGTTCATGTGCTCAGAGACGTCCCGATGTGGCCCCCCCCCGCTGATTCATTACTCGCATTAAAATGAGTGAAACAGCTTCTTGCATGCAGCTCATGTAAGAGACAGCCGTCTGCTTGTTGCCCCCCTTTCACAAAGCGATCTCTCTGTATATCCTGTTTATATTTGCTCTGGAACTGGATGGATGCGCCAATTCTTTTTTTTTTTTTTGTATAAAAAATGTGCAATTAAGGGTCAAAAGGTCACCGACTTTGCTGTAAGGTTTCCTAAACGAGCAAGCACACGAAAAGCTTGCAACGTTATCTGCATGCTAAACCCTCTTTAGTTCCAGTTCCACGCTCGTCTCTGCGTGCAGGACGGACGCGAGCACCCAGGGACGGGAGCCGATCTCCGAGAGGTTTCCACAGTAACAAAACTCGTCACCTTCTTTCGTTTTTGTTTTCCTCTCTTCGGGGTTACTTCTGACGCTGTACAGTTGTGGAAATGTGATTGTTCTCGTTATTGTGCATTTTCTCAATAACTGGTTTATGATGATTCTTGTTGCTGTATATGTGTATTTGAAAATAAATGCTATGAAGTCACCGTGGTGGTGAAGGAGTGCAAAAAAAAATCACTCCCAGATCAGACGGGACTCATTCATCTGTTTCCACCTTCAGTCTGAGGCAGCGGAATTCAAATATTTATGTTATTTGGTGCTTTACGTTTTCTTTACAGTAACGTGTGTTTTACTGCATTTACGAAATATAAAACATAAGAGAAACTTTTTCCTTTTTATTTATACGAACAAAATGCAACAGCTGTGAAGAAGAGGGGGAAAATTTATTAGTGTGTAAAAGCTGAAACGGTCACTGTAATAAAAAAATAATAATAATAAAATCACTTTTAATTTAAAGAATAAAAATGATTAACCTAATAATTTAAAAATCAATTTTAAAAGGCCTGTTTCAGTCTTATTTTATCCAGAGTTCAGTACGAGGTCGTCCTCTTACTGCAGCTGCACAACAATCAACCCTGGGACCTGCAGACAACAATTATATCGATATTCACTAATAAACGTAAAAGTCACAATCTGTCCAAATTATTCTGTTCTTTAATATTATCAGCAAAGCAACAGGGAGCCCCCAGCAGTCACTGGAGGCCAACACTGGCACTTAAACAGTGATTAAAGGTAAAACCTGCTTTGGTTTTATTTCTGAAGCAGCTGTATACTTTGATGTAATACCACTTTGCACCACAAGATGGAGCACTGTGTGTGAACTTTCTCAGGTTCTAGAAGGTGGAGTTTTTTTAAAAAAAAATTATGATTAATTGTTTTTAAAACTGCAGGCTTACGGTTTTTTTAATCAGGTAAGTGATTAAGTACGTGATCTACTTTAAAATGTCAGCCTGGTGAACGATTAGACTTTAGAGGACACGAGCAGCAGCAAACATCTGGAAATGTTAAAATGCACCTACTGGTGAAATGCTGCCCTCTGGTGGTGAATGTTTTCATTCACACGTTGAAACAAAAAGCACCTTTAAGTTATGCGATAAGAAAATAGCAGTGCTATAGCTATAGGTTTATGCTTTTTTCTTTAGTGTTTATTTTTAATTTTAATTTCTTTCAGTTCAAAGTTCACAGCAGGCATCATAAAAACAGAGCCAAGTTTGAATAAACAGCCACAAGTGCTGTTAACAATTTCATCAAGTAAGGTTTTGTTTTTAAAGCCCAAAATACTTTTATAAAT